CTCGGCGGGAGCGCCGCCGCACTCCCAAGTGGTGCACTGTAGCAGTGCGCCACCGGTCTGGCCCTAGATTTATAATTTTAAAAGATTTGTTTCAATGGAATAGGATGTTTGTTTTAAGAATCTTAATGAGTAAGAGTAAATCTAAAAATGACAAGTAATGTTACACTATTAAGATCGACTTCAAATAAGCCCTTTGATTTATCAAAAATTTTACTGGATAAATATTGACATTTTCAACTGGGTGTTCTTGTGGATTGTATAAAATTTTTGAACATTCTATTTGTATAATAGAAAAAATATATTTTCCATGTTAGAAAAAAACCAAACTATTCATCTTTTAAAAAAATTTTATAACATGTTTTAGTCTACTTGTTTAGTATTGCTAAGGTTATATATCACATCACTAAAATTAAATGCTAGTTATGCACATACATACATGTAACATATGAAAAAATTTTATAACATGTTTTAGTCTACTTGTTTAGTATTGCTAAGGTTATATATCACATCGCTAAAATTAAATGCTAGTTATGCACATACATACATGTAACATATGCATTATATTCATTATATGTACATGTATATGTCTGTGTATACATATATATATATATGGGTGTTAGAAGAGTTAATTGATCTTGAACTGCATTGTTTTACAGAGTAAAAAGCGACAATATGACCAGGAAATTGAGAATCTAGAAAAACAGCAGAAACAGACTATTGAACGCCTAGAACAAGAACATACAAATCGCTTGCGAGATGAAGCCAAACGTATTAAAGGAGAACAAGAGAAAGAGCTGTCCAAATTTCAGAATATGCTAAAGAACCGAAAGAAAGAGGTTAGAGTAACTACTGTTTTTAATTACTAAAGCTGTGTTTTAAATGTAAATTTAAGACTAGGGGATTAGGAGTAATATTTCATACTTAAATAGCATGCATTCGTTCTTTAATTTGGTCTTCCCAACAGTCATATAGAGTAGTAGTTAAGGTCGGGTGTTTCCCCCATTTTACTGCCAAGAAAAATGGAGTAAAAGATAAAAGAGGTTTTAGTGGCCTATTCAAGTTCACAAATTACCACTAAATGTCCAGCTAAACCTGGAATCAAGTCTTCATATCGAGGCTAATCCATCTTCCAATCTACCATTCCCTTTTATCAGTGCAACTATTTAAAGCCTTATTTATATAGAAGTATTTTTTATTTATGTATTTTTTGTTAATATTTTTCTTATTTATATAGAAATATTTTTATAGTCTGCTGGTGCAGCAGTAATTCATTTTATTATTTATTAATTTATTTGTCATCTTTATACTTGCACCAAATTTTTTTCAGGATTAGTTTTTTATTACCTTTCTTGGACATTGTGCCAAACAGAAGCTGAATACCCTGAAATTCAAAATACTGTCTATATGCTCATTAAATTGCAGAGTACTTTGAAGAATCAGAAGTGGAAATTACCTGTGGTCATTTGATTAGAATGAGTTTTTTTCATTTTTCCTGAAACTGTTTCATATTGTTACAGAATCTACTTGCAGTATTTTTTATTATGAAAGGTTGTCATTGATTCAGAAGGAGGATTTACATATTATATTTGTGTGTCCTTTTGTTTCCAAATTAAAATAAAACTAAGAGAGCTTTACATATAAGCAATTTTCAGAGGTAGTTTTTGATTTATTCTGTATCTTCAGTGTTAGAGGAAGATTTACCTTTTCATGATATAAAAGACCCCAAGGAAAATAATTATGATAAATTTTGTTAGGGTTGAAACAAAAAATTCTCAGCCAAACTAGTAAATGCATTTTCACCTTTGTTATACATCTCAAATACCCAGATTCATTGACTTTAACATTTAAATTATGAAGAAAGTTGAAAATAATATTGCAGAATTGTAAGGATCTACTTTAAAAAGGATAGAGTTGAACATTATTAAATATGGTATGTTCTATGACTATTTTAGGTAGAAATGAATGAAATGGTATGTAATTTTATTTGAGTTGGCTACCATTTTAAAAAATTGGTTTTGTTACTGTTTATTATGTTTTATATAAAATTGCTCTATATACCATGATTAAGTTTACTGGGTCTACATGTTAATTTTCTCAAAACCATGGGTAGTTTTTATTAAGAGGTTATTTATATCAGATTAAATTAAAGAGTTGGCTACCATTTTAAAAAATTGGTTTTGTTACTGTTTATTATGTTTTATATAAAATTGTTCTATATACCATGATTAAGTTTACTGGGTCTACATGTTAATTTTCTCAAAACCATGGGTAGTTTTTATTAAGAGGTTATTTATATCAGATTAAATTTTAAAAAATTTCTGGTAAATATATGATTTAATCCTAAATATACAAAAATTTGTAGTTATTGTTTTGGGGTAGGAGAGTTTTAGCCAGTGAACATGTCTGAGATCATGATAAGCATGTTTTAAATAATTATATTATGTATTTTTTTCTTTATTGCTAAACTTCTCGCATTTGGGGAGTCTCTTCCTTTTAACGGTGATTTGGTTTCATGAGGGATTGCTAATGGGAAATTTTAAATACACCATGTTAAATCAAAATCAGTCTCTTTCACAGACCATCAATAGCATGTGGTGATTTGGATTCTGGTTTCTTCTGGTGCTTCTACTTGTAAACACATGATCATTTTTCATAGGGATTACAGATCTATTGTTAAATGGAATATACACGTGTAGGATTTTGAACTGATTAGAAGAAGGACCTCTAAATATATACTTTGTCTTATATTTTATCTGAGATAATTAATTGTAGCTTACTAAATTGTTAAGACTGCTTATTTTACTGATTTTAAACTTGAAGAGCTTGGCTTTAATTGTCAGCAAAGGAGAATGTTTATTCTAGTTCTACACAAGATCATCAGATATGTTCATTTTTATCACACCGTGTATAAAATGGTGTGTTTTATGAAAAAAACTTAGTATTCATTTATTTCTCCTTTGTATATTCTAAGGCTTTTTTTTTCTTTTCCTTTTGGTCTCATTAAGTGGATTTCGTTTAGAATTATGTCTTTGGTATTATCAAGCCAATTATGAAATTTTGCATTTTTATAAATGGCCTTAGCTTTCCTTACTTTCAGTATTTCAAATAATGTCAATGGATATGTTTATAATTTTATGATCTTTCAAGAAGGTCATTTGAGTTTACCACCTTTAGTTAAGCATCAGCACTGCAAGTAATTCTTCACTGATTGTATTTGGATCTTTAAGAGAGAAAATGATATATAGGGATAATTAAGCAACTAATTACTTTTCTGTGGTGTAATGTCCCTTTCTTCACTGAGATTAAGCATGTTCTATCCTTTCATTCTTTCTCACCAAACTAACCCCTATGCTAATGCATGCTGAAAGGAACTTTTTAACAGCTTTAATATTTGACTTGTAGCTTGTCTGCTCACATAAATGCTTGCTGTGGAGAAAGCATTATTTCCCCACCTCCTGCATGCTTATACACTGTAGGTTATAAATGAAGTGGAGAAAGCACCCAAAGAGCTGAGAAAAGAGCTCATGAAACGCAGGAAAGAGGAGCTTGCACAAAGCCAGCATGCTCAGGTAACAGCAGCAGCTTAATGCTACTAAAAACAGAAAGCAGCATTTTCTCACAGCTCAGTAAACTATGGTTGGAAGGATAAATTTTAACTGTAATTATTATTTGATGTTGACTTCTCCCTGTCCAAAGATTTCCAGGATCTTCTTTATGTAGTATTAAATTCACTCTAATGGTGACTAAATTGCTAATATGAAGTTAAGTTGAATGTTTAGAAAGTTGACTCCAGATGAAATAAGCAAGTATGTTAATGTATAATCAATCCACTGTTATCTGATTTTAATCATGATGGAAGCTTATATTTTTGAGTAGTAATGCCAGTATTTGATAGAAGACTTTTAGGACAGAAAAGTAGAGGGTGAGTATATAAGCTTTGTTCTTACAAAAAGAATGCCCATTAAAAGGCCATTATTTCTGTAAGTTCAAAAGTAGAAGAAAATGATAAATGGTAATATTAAATAGTAGATCAAACATTTATTACTTTGAGCTCAATAACATAAGCAACTTTATTTATTTTATTTATTTATTTATTTATTTTAAAGGATGACCGGGAAGGGGATCTCAACCCTTGGCCTGGTGTTGTCAGCACCACGCTCAGCCAGTGAGCAAACCGGCCATCCCTATATATAGGATCCGAACCCGTGGCCTTGGTGTTATCAGCACCGCACTCTACCGAGTGAGCCACGGGCCGGCCTAGCAACTTTAAAACCACTGGGGACCATGACATGGATTGCCATTAAAATTGTTTCTTTTCTTTCTTTTTTCTTTTTCTTTTTTCTCAACTTTAAAACCACTGGGGACCATGACATGGATTGCCATTAAAATTGTTTCTTTTCTTTCTTTTTTCTTTCTTTTTTTTTTTTTTTACGAAGTAATGATATTTTAAAACTGCCATTTACTTGTCACCATCATTTTAAAGTAGAGAATATTTTTAAGACCATGAAAAATGAGGAAAATATAATCTTGGAATTTAAAATTTAGTGAAGCTAGTTTATGTGAATAAATTTAGTTTGCCTTTTTTTTTTTCTTGCTATGAGCCAGTGAAACATTTTATCTAGTCTGGGTGTCAGGATTGCTAGTTTAAGGTGATAATAGCAAACACAACTTTTACTATGTTTCAAGCACTGTTCTAAATGCTTTACATGTGTGAACTTATTTACTCTCAAAACAAACATGCAAAGGTTACTCTTGTTACCCGCATTTTACAGGTGAGGGAACTAAAGCACAGGAGGGTTGAGTGACTCTCCTACAGTCACACATCTGGTTAGTGGTAGAGCCAGGATTCTCATCCAGACAAGTTGAGCTCCATGTTTCATATACTGAACCACCACAACATACTGCCTGTCATATTTTAAGCTACTTGCTCTTTGCCTCATCTAACCTTTCATCAGCTCGATGTAGTGGTTTTTGGCCATATCTTGTTAACAAGTGAAGAGGTTGTCTTTGCTGGCCACACATCTACTTTTGCTTAATTTGGATTTCAAACCAGGTAATAACAATCAATATGGGTTTGCCTTTAAAGGAATATAGACTTTTTTTAATTCCAAAAGGTAATACTATATCAAACTTCAGAGTTCAAATTGAGAATTTGGTGTTGAATGAATGAAGTGATCCTATACCTCAGTGAGAATTTGTTGGTGATTTTTCGTGTAATTTTGAGGGTTGGCCTGTATTTGCCAACTAAAGCGGAAAGTGTTAGTAAATTCCTTCTGTAAAAATTTAATGACGAATTTAGTAATTAAATTCCAAAGGTATTTCTATCTTTTGGTTTTGATGAAGGTGCTAAAACTTGATAACTTTATGGAAAGCGGAAAGTGTTAGTAAATTCCTTCTGTAAAAATTTAATGACGAATTTAGTAATTAAATTACAAAGGTATTTCTATCTTTTGGTTTTGATGAAGGTGCTAAAACTTGATAACTTTATGGCGTCTATTTTAAACTTTTTTTGAGAATTCATAAATAATAGCCATATATTAATGGAGCTAGAATGTATTTTATAATCTAGTCCAGTGGTTTTCAAACTTTACTCCCAGGAGCTCTTGAGTTTGGAAGAAGCAGCTCTGGGAATCCTTCAAAAGGTGAGGACTGTGGGGCTGTGGGCCCCTGCTTCTACTACTTTAACTGAAGCATCACTACTTTTTATCTGTTTAATAAACTGAGAGTTTTTTTGGTGTGTTCTTAAAATAGGAATTCTATTGGTTTAAAAAACAACAGTAACACACTAGAGTTTGGAAACCACTGATCTAGGTGAAATCCTTCATTTTACAAATAAGAGGCTCCTCTGTTAAGTGACTTGTTCCAGGCCTCAAGAAACTCAATATTTGTATTATTATTCTTTCCATTTACATAAAGTCATTGAGATATGTTCTCACCTGGGAGGTGCATTGTATTCTGATCCACAGGGTGTTGCTCAGGTCATGATTCAGTCTTTTCAGTTGTCATCTTGTGCAGTCTTCAATGCCCAAATGCAGGATGTAAGTCCCACGTGCCTGTAGGAGGATGCCTTTTCCTGTTTTACCTGCTTTTTCTTTGACTCACATGTGCCTTTTCATTGTTGGCATCATTTGCTAAAATCTAGATTGATAGATAAGAGTGTCATTAATAAGAATAGTAGTAATAAGCTGACTTTATAGTAAGTGTTCTTCAAAGAGTTTCCACGTTTGATTCTCATAGTCACCACCCTAATACAGGGATGGAGTATATCCATTTTACAGGATAAATTGAGGCACAGAAGACTAAGTGATCTGCTTAAAGTTACATAAGACATTAATGGTAGACTTGGAGCTAGAACACTTTTAACAGAGTGTTCTTTTTTCTGTCTACCCTACCACAGATTCTAATTTGAGATTTTCATCTTTTTCAAAAAAAAAAAATAAAATATTTTCCCAATAGTATTTTATAAACTTTGCACATGTGAGAAATTGAATGCTGTGATTAGATTTTTATCTTTGTGTGAAGTGACATTTTGATTGCATATATATTTACTTAGATGTTTTAATTATGGATATGGTCAGAAAAGCCATGTTAAAAGTAGTGATTTTAGTTTCATTTAACCCTAGTTACCATTTTTTCAAATTGTCAGTAACGAATAGTGAGTTGCTATTCTCTCTCCTTACTGTAGTTTTAAATTAAGTCTGGAATTCCAGGCTGTATTCTTTCTCACAGTTTCCATAGGGAAATGACTAGCTCATTTAACACTGTAATTTTTATTTGTGATGTTTGATATATGCAACTGGAGTAGATAGAATACAGCTTGATTTCAACCACTCTTTACACCTCTCTTGAAATCAGACTTTTTTTTTTCATTATTGGCTGCAGTTTGACTCTTTTTACAGTTTTCTAAAAGAATAAATAAAACATTGATTTTTCTTTTTAATGATAGGGAGAAATTATGTATTATGATCACTTTTCTGATCATTACCATTTTTAGCCTTTCTTTTGAGTTAAAATGATCAAATTCTATACAAATAGCCCAAGATATCATAATCTTTTCTGATAGTTTTCTAGAACCCAAAGTTGTAATTTTAAGTGTTATAATTTTCTAATTAATATGATAAAATTTCCTATCAGAATTTAAACTTGTACTTTTAAAGGGTAATCATTTTATAATTTACATGTCCATTAAAAAAAATAATTTTTGGCCTTAATAGTTTGGGTTCTTTTGTTGTTGTCTTTTATTTGTAACTCCTAGTGATTAAGTCCATTTGTTGTTTTTTTTAAAGGTTAATGTAATTTGTGCAATCTTTTTGGAATGTAAGATCTCTTTTACTTCCTAAAAGTAATGTCTAATTGCAGATTCCATTGTGAATGTATGATGCTTTGCTTTTGAAATTAGGAAATCTAATGAATAGTCAATAATATTAAAATTTTATTTCTTTCAAGGTAATGAAATGTATTAATTAGTTTGTAAGAGAGCTTTCCAGATAACTTTTAGCTTTAATATAAGAAATCTTTTGTGCAACGTAGTTACCCAGACTATGCTTGATTATTTAAGTCCATATCTCTATAAGGCAGCTGGAGTTTTTGCTAACTCTGTTTGTTAGGACTTTTATACATTGGACATATGTCTGCCTACCTTGACCTTTACCTGTTGATCCTTGTTTTACCTTCTGGAGCAGCACAATGCTAGTTCTACCTACTTCTATGTGACAGTCTTAGCTCTTCTTTACCCCTTATGTATTAGGGGCACACTCCTTTAGTTTTTTCAGTCATTCATTGTAAGGCATGGTTTCTGAACCCTTTATTCCCAGCTTTGAGTTTTCTGTGGTTTACTTTTGAACTTTTAAAGGTGTCATACTAAGGGAAGGGCCCTGCTACTCTGTGCGAACTGATAGACTGTTGGTACTTGGGACCAGTTGAGTGGAAGTTCCTTGAAGGCAAAACTATCTTTTATGAATTTTAGTAACTCTGTAACTAGTACAGTGCCCAGCATTTACTAGGTGTTTAGTAAAGGTTTTTTTTTTGTTTTAATAAAGATGACCGGTAAGGGGATCTTAACCCTTGACCTGGTGTTGTCAGCACCACGCTCACCCAGTGAGCTAACCAGCCATCCCTATATGGGACCTGAACCTGGGGCCTTGGTGTTATCAGCACCATACTCTCCCGAGTGAGCCATGGGCTGGCTCTAGTAAAGGTTTTTGAACTGAACTCTTACCTTGTTTAATTGACATAAATATGTTATAGTAATATGAACAAAAACAATTGCATAGATAAGGGATTGCATTCACTTTTTTAGTGGCATTGGCTTATATTTACTTTTTTATTTTTACATAAATATTTATTCACCCCATCCTATACTTTTGCATTTGATTTCTTTGAGTCTAATTGTAAGATTTATATTTATGCTAGCTAATTTACACCCATTGTTTCTGTACACATAGGTATTTTTTTTTTTTTTTTTGTTTTTTT